CTACTGGCATGATATAAGAAATGAAAAAGAAATATTCTCCAAGCGCCAATTAGGTGGAGGGTCTGTCATGACTTGGGGCTGTTTTGCTTACAATGGTGTGGGCTCAATTGCATTCGTTTCAGGTAGAATGAATTCACAAGGATACCAAAATATCCTAACAAATCATCTTTTGCCAAATGTTGAATGTCTTGCTGGAGAAAATTGGAAATATCAGCAAGACAATGCATTGATCCATTCGAGTAACAGCACAAAAAATTGGTTCCAAGTCAACAATGTTGAAACTGTGAAATGGCCAGCTAGATCACCTGACCTCAACCCAATCGAGAACCTTTGGGGTGACTTAGCAAGAAGAGCTTATGCACATGGGAGACATTTTACATCAACAACAGAGCTGAAATCTACTATCGAAGATGAATGGTATAAAACTGACCCCACCCTTTGTCAAAAACTTGTTTCATCCATGAAAATAAGAATATTTGAAGTAATTGGAAGAAATGGCTCCTACACAACCTTCTAAGAAATTGTAATTTTTTTCTTATATGTTATTTTCTATGTTGGCCATAAAGTTTTTACTCAAGCTCAAACATTCATCTGTGTGTTCTGTAATATTTTCTAATAATAAAATATTTGCAAATTAATTTTTCTACTTTTTTTTACTTTTAGTTGAGCTCAATAATTATCAATCAAATGGTATTTTAGTTCCTCAGTTTAAATGTTTCCATTTTCTCAAAACTTTTTACTGGCCTTTTTACTCAGGTTAAGTTTTTACTCAGGCTTTATGATACTAATTAATATTAATGAGAGAAAATTGGCTTTGTATTTATGTTCTTGCAGATAAACAGATCTTTTCTGAATTCTGATTTTTCAGTAATTTAGAACAAATATTCATATGAACTATGAATATACTATTATTACACTTGCATTTAAAAGTTTGGAAAACGTTATTCAAGGTCTTGGGAATAGTTTTCAATTAACTGATATACATTTAATATTCTTAATAAAAGCATTGTTAATACTGGTAAGCATCACGCATAAGAAAAATGTATAAATCTTACCTCGTTTTCTGCAGAAATTTGCACAGATGTTTCATAATTAATTGATTTCTTCATTTCGGCCTTAACACGACTTGTTGGGCACTGCTCCGTACAACCAATCATATGCGGCGATTACCAAGAGCAACCCGAAGACGGTTAACGACAGGAAATCCCTCAAGAATAATAAGAAATCTGTAAATAACGATAAAGAAGATCAATCCTCCAAAAATAAACGAAAATCAGTAAACATAGACACAGAAGAACAATCCTTTGAAGAATTCACCGGGTTCATTACTGAAATTTACCAAATTTACCAGCAATACAAGCAGGCTTCTAACCCCGACTCCAGGCTCAAGACTGCAATGACAGCACTAAAGATATTCATCCAGAACGAGCATGAATAATTACGCCCATACGGCTAATCCAAATACCATGCAACATATTAATTATGCCAAGTTTATGTTTTATAATAGTAATGGTATTAAAAATCAAAAAATTGAAATTCAAAACTACATCAACCAGCACAGTCTGGATGTTTATTTATTAAGTGAAACCCACCTCAAACCGAATGACAAATTTAAAATTCCCAACTACAACATCTATAGATCTGACCGTCTTCATAACCGTGGTGGCGGTACAGCTATTCTCATGAAAAAATGCTGTCTAAACAGTACCATCTTTCCTCTTCCCCTTATGAGCTTTGAAGCAAGTGCATGTATTTTGAACAGTGACAATAAAGAATATCTCATCATTGCTGTTTATAAGCCACCCAACAATAGCCTCAACACTCAAGATCTTGACTATATTCTCAACTTAGGTTATCCAACTATTATTGCTGGGGACCTAAATTGTAAACACGCTAACTGGAACTCCAGGCGAAATAATCCAGACGGAATTATTCTTAATAATTACATCATCAACAACCCTGATATCAACATTTATGGTCCAGATGAACCTACGCATCTTCATCAAATCTCAAATACTTCTGATGTATTAGACATCTTAATTACCTTCAATGTTCCTCAAATACCTTTTCTCCAAGTGGATAATGAACTTTCTTCAGATCACCTACCAGTACGCTTCACTTTATATGGCTTAAAGCATGGTCTTCCGCCTATAAAGTGTCGCATTAATTGGGAAAACTATGCTTTCACCTTGAAGAAAACATATCTGCTACCACTAAAATGACTAATAAACAGCGAAATTCATGATGCCACAGTCTATCTTAGCAGTAAAATCAACGAAGCCATCAACCACGCCAAATTTATTCCAAAACAGACTAATTATACGCTCCCACACAATATTAGACAGAAAATTACAGAGAAAAATAGACTAAGAAAAAATTTATCAACGTTCCACACTCCACCCAAGACAAAAGAAGATTTAATGCTGCCAATCGAAACCTCAGAAAACTTATCCAAGAGTACAGAAACAATTGCTGGGATAACTTCATTGAAAGTCTTTCGCACACACCGACCACTCTGTGTGGAAAGTTGCTAAAGCTCTCCGAAGCACTCCCTCCAATATTGGACCCATTCTTGATGATAATAATACCAAAATTTACGATCATAAGAAAATTGTCAACCTCTTCGCTGATAACTATGAACAACAGTTTAATTATAAATAATTTCCCCAACCCGAATGATATCAATATTATCAATCACTTGACCGATTTCCTCTGCAAAGATCCTGAAAATCAAAAACAACCCGACTTCTCCCAAAGAAATACAGAAAATTATAAAGAAACTTAATCCAAAGAAAGCATCTGGATATGACAATATCACTAATAAGGCCCTGCAATACCTCCCAAGGAAAGGCATCGTTCTTATTACAAATATTTTTAACGCATGTTTAAGACTTAATACATTCCCAAAAAATTGGAAACACGCCATTCTAACTGTCATTAAAAAGCCTGGCAAAGCTGGAAATCTCACAAGTAACTTTAGACCGATCAGTCTTCTGCCTGCGATTGCCAAACTTTTCGAAAGGCTTATCGAGTCTCGACTCACCACTTTTATTAATGAAAATAAATCATCATCAAAGACCATCAATTTGGATTTCGCCAGGGATTCTCAACGACTCAGCAGATCGCCCGAATCGTAGAATTCATAGGCGAAAATTTTAATAAAAAGGAAGTAGTTGCTGCTATTTTTATGGATGTAGAGAGAAGCTATTTTTATTAGAAAGCCTTCGATAAAGTTTGGCATCACGGTCTTATCATCAAGCTGATGAACTATAATTTCCCACCTGCCATCATCCATCTAATCGCTGATTTTTTAAAGAACAGAACTTTTCAAGTTAAGATTCAAGATAATTATTCCTACCACAAGAAAAATTCACGCGGGTTTACCACAGGGATCGGTAATTTCCCCGCTTTTCTATAATTTATATATTAATGATCTTCCTAATATTGAAAATATTCTCACTGCATGCTATGCCGATGACACGGCACTTTTATGTCACTCACTTAATCCATATCATGCAAGAAATAAACTGCAGAATTCCACTAATTACATTTCACCCTGGTTTAAAGGATGGAAAATTAAAATTAACCCCGAAAAATCAAAAGTGATTTACTTTAAAAAAAGGAAATATCCCTCAACAAGACTTAGAAGAAATTACAATGGACGGACAAATCGTGTCACGTGACCACCAAGTAAAATATCTAGGTGTTTATCTCGACCAGAAGTTAACTTTCAAATTTCATGTTAATTATATCAGAGTCAAAGCACAACGTGCCTTAATGAGCATATACCCTCTGATGTGCAAATATTCGAAGTTAAATATCAACGCTAAAAGAACACTTTATCTACAGGCAATCCGACCCATAATTCTATATGCCGCTCCGGCGTGGGCAGCTACTGCACGTTCAAACCGAGCAAGGCTTCAAAGTTTTCAGAGTAAAACTCTCAAATTCCTCTCGAACTCTCCATGGTTCGTTAGGAACACTGTCATCCATAATTCTTTAAAGATTTTACCATTAGATGCTGAATTACTAAAGATTACATTCAAATTCTACGAAAAATGTGATTCCTCCACTCACGAAGTTATTAAAAACATAGGGGAGTACGACTATCTAATCGAACAGCCGCATAAACGGCCCAGAACTATACATCATAATGTTAGATGGTAGTTCTTGTATATATTTTATTATTTTCAACTATTTAATCTAGATTTTGTTTCATCTTTATCATCCTTTTCATCTTACTAATGTACGATACTGTGTTAAATATACGATAATGTGTAAAAGATATGCCAAAATTTAGTTGCTATTATAGCTTATCCAACGAAGACTTCATCTGTGGCCGATATAAGTCGCCACCCCTGATCAACTTCTTCACTTCTGAAGACTTTGCACTTTTATTACAAGTGCACAGGACTTTTCCAGTTTATGGAATTTAACGAAATTTTACAGGTCCTTAGGGGATTGATAAACATGTAGTGGTAAAGGCCCTCGGGTCGAACACCACTTAACGAATGATGATCTCCGATCTCTGAATAACAAAAGACCCTACTTGTTGACATCAAGAAAAGAGAAATCATTTCCAAGCATATTTTTTAATTTCTAGCAATAGCCATAATTTCTAAATTCAAAAAATCAATTAATTTCAGCGGAATATCTGCTATCGACTCCATTGTAAACATAGCATATGCGGATGTTGTTGTTCTTAAACACGTGACTACATTTTTCCTCTTCTTCTCATGCGGAATGTATCTCATTGTTTTGCATTCTGCTTGTAAAATACATTTAGCTATAATTTCAAACATTCTAGACGTCTATTTTCTTTTAATAATTTTCCCATTGTGTTTATTATATGTTTTTATATTACAATTTCATTTTTCGGAGCGACACCTCTAGTGCTATGTCAAAACCTTTATATTTTTTAAGGAAATTTGGATCATGTATTTTGAATTGTGTATCGTTCAAAGCTGAATGTAAGCTTACATACAGCTTTGGTATCGTCGTCCTATCGATACGGACGTAATGGCGCAAGATGTGTGTAAAATGGGGAACAGAAATAATATTTGTGTATCATCATTGTCGATGATGCATTACTACACACCTATCTAAATGTCATATTATTAAAGCAAAGGCTAAAAAAAAGTAACAGCTAATATCATTATTTAAAGACGGGTTAATTTGTTTAGAACCACTGGCTCTCCAAGCATTTTCCAGTTTATTCCGCCGGTGGAACAATATGGCTGCTGCCGGTAGGCCTAATGCGGTTGACAGGACCAGTGATCAGACGAGCCCAAATTCTGAAACAGCACCCGATTTCGAGCACGGACACGGACATTATTTTACGAAAAAAACGTTTCATAAACCTACGTACTGTCATCATTGTACAGATATGCTTTGGGGCTTAATGGGACAAGGCTACGTATGTGAAGGTTTGTAGTTTACTTTCGAATTTCACTTTAATGTGATATAAAAAGTTGTCTAACAAATTAAATTCAAGGAATAAATGCTTTTACATATCATTAAATAGTATGTATACATTTAGTGCATATATATATAATGTGCGTGTACATGGTAAATACGAACATTTTATGCATATGTAAAAAACATCACGGTGAAAGCTTGATTAAGTTTGTCATTTGCTTGTCATCGCGTATATTGAGTACACAATTTTTCAGTTCTCTCTCTCTTTTTTTTTTTTTTTTCATTTGCTCAGAGCGCTTCTAATTTTGTATTATAAGAAGGCCTGGATTTCATCGATATTTGAATGTAACTGTTGGGATAATTTTTAAGTTTTAATAAAAGGTGCTAAATCCTGTGTATATAGAAAGGACATAATTTCGTGAATGGTTTTGTAATTAAAAGCCAGTTTACTTACAATGGCTCCAAAAGTGTTCGTACACTTATGATTTTCATTGAAATAGGGCTCTAGCCATTAATTAAAAGTAAACTTTCTGAATGAGATTTTAATAATAAAACCTATAATCTATTCGTAACAAAATTACATGAAATATTTTTAAAATATAGCGAAACTTTATTTTTAAGAAATTAATAATAAAAAAATGACAAACATTTTATATCACAAAAAGTCTTCATACACTGAAATATTTTTGGATAAAATCAAAATTAGAATTATCATTTGCCGCTTTTTTTAATTTTTGCATTGTGGTGGCATTTAAAAAATCGTTTGCTTTAATTTTTTATTGTTTACTTCATAATATTCCATTATTATTGAAAAATGGGTCGCAGTCGTAATTACAAACAGCATTCGAAAATTTATAATTTTTCACTATGGTAGTAGTAAATCAATTTGAAATATAGCTAAATGGTTTAATCCTAGTATCCGGTGCACACGGGATTTGGTTACTTTTGGCGACTTTTATGATGAGCAGTAAAAACGGGACATATACAATGAGTAGTAAATGAGTATTCAAAGAATATATAGTTATACATAGTATATACTAGTATGTATATAGTGTATAGTATACTATCACTAGTAAACGGGTATTCAAAGAATATATATAGTTATACATAGTATATACTATGTATATAGTGATAGTATCTAGTGTATAGTATACTATCACTATATATACATAGATGTTCTTTTGGTAATTTTTGGTGTTGGCGATAATTTTCAAAATCGCGCCAAGGCTGCACCGTATACTAGGATTTTACCTAGCTAAATTATTTAATTTATTCCATTCAACAGTGCAGTATGTGATAAAACCTTTTAAAAAAGAAAATCGGATTGAAAACAAGGTAAGAAAAGGTCGACCGTGAAAGTTATCTAAACGTGATGAGAGATTTATTATTAGAAAAATTTGTGAAAAATCCACGTTTGAGTGTTGTAAAAGTTTCTGCAGAATTTAATGCAAAGTTTTCTACTTCAGTTGCACCTGAAACTTCGACGATTTCTCAGAGAAGCTGCATTACATGGGCGTTCTGCCCGTAAAAAAAAAATTTTGTTAGTGACAAAAACAGAAAGCTCAAGCTTTCATTCGCATAATCAATGATAAATACACCCGAAATGTACTAGAATAATGTCCTATTTGCTGGTGAAAGCAGATTTAACATTTTTGGTTCCGATGGTCGAATAACTATGGAGAAGAAAAATGAGGAACTTCATTCTAAGAACTTGGTTGGAACAGTTAAACATGGCGGTGGGGGTGCATGGCAACACCAGGACTAAGTAATTTGGTATTTATTGATAGCATAAGGAATTATTCTCTTTATTTAAATATTTTAAGAGACAATTTAAAATAATCAGCCCAAAATTTGGGTATTGGAAAAAACTTTATGTTTAATCATGCTAACGATCGTAAGCATACGGCTCTCAATGTTCACCTGTGGTGTCTCTATAATTGTTCACAGGTTTTGAAAGTACCACCTCAGTCACCAGATTTAAACCCCATAGAACACGTTTGGAAATAACTGGAGGTTAGCGTATGAAAACACAACATAAAACGAAAAGCAAACTCAAAATAGTCATGATGGAAGAATGGATGAACATTGATACAGAAATTACAAAAAAACTAGTAAAATCTGTTCCCAGACGTTTAAAAGCTGTTGTGAATGCTAAAGGATATCCTACTAAATATTAATTTAATGAAAATATTTACTAATATGTCAAGATTTTTTTGAAGTGTACGAAGACTTTTGCGAGATAAAATGTTTGTCATTTTTTTGTATTAATTTCTTAAAAATAAAGTTTCGCTATATTTAAAAAATATTTCATGTAATTTTGTTACAAATAGATATAGATCTTTTTAAAATCTCATTCAGAAAGTTTACATTTAATTAATGGATGGAGCCTTATTTCAATGAAAATCATAAGTGTACGAACACTTTTGGGAGCCACTGTATGTGTTAAATTTCATCGGGGAAGGGGAATTTCTATATATGGAAAATACATAATCCAGCTCCATACGTCTGTTATACAGAAATACAGATAATTTTTATAAAATTTTAAGTGAATGAAATCGGGAAAAACAAATTGAGAAATAGTAAGAATTACAGAGTGTTAATTTCTGGCCTTAAATGTTAGTACTGAAGATAATTTAGCATATCTTATTTCCTTATTTGGGGCCCACCAGTGGCCAAGCAGTAAAATCGCTGAACACTGGTAGTTCGGTCCAAGGTTCGAATCCCGCGAACGGGCTGGCTGCATGGGCGTTTTCGTGGTTTTCCCATGTGTAACGTGTATACGAGACAGTTTCCCTTAGAAAGTCCTCCATCAAGGCATCCCTCCTCTTAGGCAGATAGCCCTAGTATGCTTTGCCATAATTAAATAAACCAAACCTATTTCCTTATCTGAAAGAATTCATTAGGAGTTTATGTTATGGTTTTAATGTTTCTGTGTTTTGAAATATCTGTTGTTACAAAACTATCTTCATCTGTTATTACAAGCATTTATCTGTTCTTTGATTGTCTAATTTCAAAGTTATGCTATTATCTTGCAGGTGTACATATATATAACTCATTAGGTTGGTTTATGTATGATTCATTTGACAAGATAATTAAAATATGATGTAAACCTGTAGTAACATATATAAAATAAGCACCTAGTTCTTGAAATAAGTAATTTTCAGTGTTGGTGTAGTACAGCTTTTTGTATATTTAGCTTGTTGCTGTTAGTAATTCATGTACAAGTAAAATTTTTCTTTGGGAATAAGCGTATATTGGCTGATTATAGTGCGAATGCAGACATTTGGCTTCATGACATATTTTTGTAACTGGAAATACCGGTTGATCTTTACAATATGGTAACTGGTAGTTTGGAGGCGATAAAGGTTACTACCTGGGACTTTGGTAATAATGTGAGCAGTACTCAGTTCCGATTACGCATTATTTTGTGTGAGGGAAATGAGAGATCATGGGATATTAATGGACGAATTACGGTTCTTGAATCGGAAAAGGGGGGAAATCGGGAAAAAATCTGGAAATTTTGTATTTGGTTTATTCTGTGTTGTGTGAAACAGTGTTCGTGAATTTTTGGATCCCATGGCCATAACTAAAGAAAAGTTTATCGGACATGTAATGAAGATTCTGAAGAAGATTAGGTAAGTTAGTATTTTTAATTATTTGAGGATATTTTTATGCATTGTTCTAAATGTAAGGTGGAAGTAAAGGAATTTGGTATTATTGGGAAAATTGTTATTAGCAATGATTTAGTTTAAAGTAATTAGGATTGTAAGGTAATTTTTATTAATTTAATGTATGTGCTCATTTATATTTTAAGTAGTGTTTTTGAATTTAATTATTTTAATTATATGATAGTTATTTTGTGAATTTTATGTTTGTAGGAATTTGGTATACGTTATCAGGTAATTTCATATATGTTCTTTTTACCGGGTTTAAAGATTGAGAAAATTGTCGTGTATTTTCGTGAAATGAAATTTTCTAATTTATGAGAAAAAAGCAGTGTACATGGATGTAGTGAAGAGTGTGCGCAATGCCATTTTTGTGCAATTCTGGGATATTTTTTTAAGTAAAAATAAGTCGACGTGTACATGGTTTAGTGATATTTTAATTAAATGATAGTTATTTTGTGAATTTTATGTTTGTAGGAATTTGGTATAGGTTTAAGTTGAAGTAAACGTGCACGGAAATAATTTAAATATTTGATACTAAGTATTTGTAATGCTTGCGGTATGAATTCATTGGTGATGTGTATAATGTAATAGATGATTTAGAGGTAAAAGTTTTTGGATACTTTATTTATTTTATATGTGGAAATGTTCATATTTGGAAAGTGTAAATACTCTTTCGCGATCAGGTAATTTCATATATGTTCTTTTTACCGGGTTTAAAGATTGAGAAAATTGTCATGTATTTTCGTGAAATTTTTCTAATTTATGAGAAAAAAGCAGTGTACATGGATATAGTGAAGAGTGTGCGCAATGCCATTTTTGTGCAATTCTGGGATGTTTTTTTAAGTAAAAATAAGTCGGCGTGTACGTGGTTTATGTGTATGTGTTATTTTGAAAAACGCGTAAGGAGTATGGTATTGTGCACTTTTTCCCAATTTTGCAGTGAATATTTGTCATGATTAAGCAGTTTTGTTAGATAAAATTTCTAGCATAAGTGTAATTCGGCTAGTAGATTGTTGGAAGAAGTGTTCAGTAGATAAAAAGAAAAGAAACATGTCTTTACTTCGTGAAGACAAAATGGCGGCGGGAAAAAAAAAAAAAAATAGAGGGTTGCTGTAGGAGAGTTGGTCGCCAAATTTTCGCCAAAAAAACGCCAAGTTACCATAATGTAAAGATCAACCGAAATACCTAACGTTATGTACATAAAGCTGAATTATATCATGTGTTAACCATCTGTAAGGCATCTTGTCATTATCATCTGTTAATATTTAACCTAAAGCTTTTGATTATAATTTTTTAAAAACATTTCTTCGTGTAGTATAATTTGATGATAATTATTGTAA